ATATATATATATACAAATAAGTTTCAGTTGTATTTCTGAAATAAGTTGAATCAGTATTCAATATCATTCATTCCTTGATGTTTTCCTTGTCTCAACAAAACGAAATACACAATCTACACAGATCGTCTAATTTTTTTTTCTACTAATGTTGAACAAATTTGTTGCAGCAAGCAAAAAAAAAAAAAAAAAAAAGAACTAATAATAATATTTTTTTTCTGATTAAAAATAGATTAAAGTAGATGTGTTACAAAAAGAAAAGAAAGAAGTAAATTAAATTAGTGTACTGCATCAATTCACCACCATTCACCGTTATACTCAACGCCAACCAATAATTTACGTACTGCTCAACCAAACGGCAAACAAACACCATATTTGTTAACTAATCTCAACATCCAACTGTTTTCAGTATTTTGCTGAGCATATAAGCCTACGACACTCTTTTTTCATTTTTCTTTTTTCTACTTTATTTCAAACTGACTAAATTAGTTGTTCTGTTTTTCTTTTTCATTTGGTTAACTGACAATTGTGTTTTTTCAATTTCGCTCTTTTTCTACATTTTTTTTTTTTTTTTTTTTACTTTAAGTGGTTTATATAAAATCTGCAAACTGTTTGTTTCGTTTTCTTTTTCTATTTTCAAAGCAGTAAGATGGTGACTGGGAACGTTAAAGAGAAAAGAGATGAGAAAGGGAAGTTGGCGGAGGTGTTTAGGAGAGGAGAAAAGAATGGGCACAGCAGAAGTCTGTGACGATAGAAAAACGAGATGAAACATTTGTAAACTGCACGAGGCTCAATAAACCTTGTTTTCAAGCTCATGTTTAGGCAGTTTTTTTTTCTATCAAAACTTTATCTTAAGAATGGAATAATAGTGGCCATTTCTCCTCCTCTGCATTGCTTATCCATCTTGATTAAGAACTCATAAAATTGTTATGTGAAAAGTTCTTTTTCAATTTTTCTTTTTTCAGCTAAACAAAAGACACCAGAAAATCAAGACAAAAAAGTGTTTTGGAAATGAAATTTTGATAACATTGTAAAAAAAAAAAAAAAGAATAATTGCTATGGCAGGCCAAGCACAAGCTCAAGCAACGCTTTTGGGCAACGATACAGAACACGAGCGATTTGAGGAAGACGTTGGCAAGTCATTATTTCCACATTTTAACCACACTTTTTTTATAAAAAAAAAATCGCGTCATCTGCATAGGACAAAAAATAATAGCCTAATTTTTCTTTAATTACTTTAAATTACCAAGTAAATAATGACTGTAAGCTGAAAAGAAAATTATTAGTAGTTGCCTATTGGCTACGGTCCTTCTGTTAAAGATGCTTCTGTATTCATTTTGTTAGTTAGTTTATTTAATTAGTTTAGAAACTGGCAGTTCAGTTTTACATTAAATAAAGGTTTGCGTGCTGAGAAACTAATTAAATTTACACATTCTAAATTACAATTTTGATTTCTATAATTGTTAATAAGGTCACTTCTTTCACCATTTTCTTTCTTTTTTTTTTTTTTTT